CGACAAGCCACTGTCTCGACCCGAAGGTATACGAACAGTGACAGGAAAGATCAGAAGCAGCTCAGACAGCGAGCCTGCTGCCGCCACAGATGAACACAGGGACCCTTACGGTGACGACCTGGACTACGACCCGGATAAGGTGAGCGAGGAATCTGAAGCGGACGTAGCAGACGAGCTTGAAGGAAGCCCAGCTACAGGCGATGGTCACAACACCGAGACGGCTGACGACTAAACATCCAGCGTCACGGACGACAGACCCCCGCTGCCGAGGATGCAAGATCCGCCACACCGGACTCCTCCGGAAGGGTGCGTGCGAGGCTGTGCACAGAGCAGCAGACGACAACGAGACGGTCCAACTCAGCACAACGCTGACGACAGGACTGGTTCCTCGCGCGGATACAGGGACCAATGGAGTTACGACAGGTCCTTAGACCGCTGGGCCACGCATTCTCGCGACGACGCTTGGCGTCACCAGGAGATGCGAACGGGAAACGACGGGATTTTCAATCATGGGTACCCTTCTCCAAGAACCCACTGTCCACCAACGAGCCCAAGCAGAACGAAGGGTCCAACTTATACAAGGCACCACTGCGCACGATCGACTCACAACACTCCTGTGAGTCCGACAGCGCTTTCATCCTCAGGATGCAGAAAGGGCTAGGCAGCATGCTCAGCGACCTGTGGTGTGCACACTGTACCAAAACTTGCTTCACTAACGCCCAGCCGACCTTGGACCCAGCACTGCAGCCGCCAAGCGTGTGCTGGGTTTTCTCCAATGCCTGGAGGACTGCAAACTACGACTTGTACCGCGCCGACCATATCCTGCGCACCAAGACCTGTTTTTGCAGCCCAGCGGACAGGCTCACGGCTATCAATAACGCATCCAGCTCAGGAGCTGCCATCAGCAGCGGGACCGCCGCCTCCAGGTCCCACGCAGCGGGAGAGTACCCGCGCAAGGGGAAAGGCAAGACGAAGGACGGACCCGATTCACAGGGCAAGGCTGGGACAAGGAACCGAGTAACCGAGAGCCCATGGAGTTCATGGCACGAGAAGCGGTATCGTCAGTAATAGCGGGCGTAGGGCATCACCCAGTTTCGACGAGATACGGCTCTGTCATCACACCGGGTATGCGGTGCGCCATGCGGCTACACTGCTAACTCGCTCTCGTGTGCTTGCGGCGGTTAGCCGCGTTCCCCTGCTCTCCCTTCCCTTCTGCCTCCTTCGCAGTCACTGCGGCTCAATGCTGGCATCAGACTGGCAGCCCACCGTGAATGCCCCTGCCAAGCGTCCCATTGAAGAGCGCCCGGAATGCTTCATCGACTGCACCTCCTTGAGGGTTCTTGCAGTTACTAGTGCGTGGCTTAACAAAAAGCATGCGTTGCCTACACCCGCTGGCGCATATGGGACGGTGTGCTAGCTCAATGGAGGACTTCACCATCCGTGACTGCACGCTACTGCGCTGCCGAAAGAGCCCAGCTTTTCCGAGGACTTCGTGTGAAGAGCAATGGCAAACTGGTGCCCGTGGCGGGCTTACTGGGGTAAGCTTCGATACCGAGCGCCTGGCGTGCGCGTCAGTGTGCACAGGGTTATGGTGAGCTTTCCCCCTTCTTCTCCTTTTGCTTCAGCGGTTAGCTGACTCTCCCCCTCTTGCGTCACTGTGATCATGTATTTTCGTACCGAGCGCCTGGCGTGCGCGTCAGTGTACACCAGGTTATGGTGTGCTCTCCTCCTTCTTCTCCTTTTGCTTCAGCGGTCATCTGATTATCCCTCTCCTGCGTCGCTGGGATCATGTATTAGTCGGGGCTGGGTGGTGCAGTGCCTACTGTTTGCCTTCAGCCGGCCCCCCCCCTTGCTGATGGCCGAAAGGGTTCAGTGGGCTCCGATGCTCGTGTCTCTTGCTTCCCATTGCCGCAGTGGTTAGCTGCCACAGCGGGATGCCGACCGTGCCTGGCGTACACTTCCCCTCCTCTCCCTCGTTTCATCGGGTTTATCCCACGCGGCTGGGGTCGCCGCCAATACTGCTGTCCGATGGTGCTCTGACAGCCTGAATTCCATGCAAGGTTCACACTGGGAACGGACGGTCAGGTGGCCCGTGACCTGCTCCTGTCTGGTGTCGGCCTCCGCTGGCGCCCGGGAGGGTTCCGCGAAGTCTCGCTTCGAATTCCATGGGTGACCACACCGGGGATGGGCGGCCAGGTGGCCCCTGGCCTGCTCCTGCTTGGTGTCAGCCTCCACTGGTGACCGTCTGGGTTCCGTGGGGAATTACTACGGTGCCGTCCTCTTCGGTGCGAGGATTTCGGCATGTCTGGCTCTGGGCGCCCGTCGGCTGCTTTCTCCTTCATGGACTTCGCTTTCGACCTGTGCCACCTGGTGTACATGCCAGAGGATCTGCCGTTTGCAGTCCTGTCTGTGACGAGGCTGCCCCCTCTTCACTCTGGCGCCGACACGATGCTGTTGTGTCACCTACGGCACGGATGTCGCCCTGAAGTGCCTGTCGGACCTGCTCGTTTTCTTCGGGCCCTATGCCGACTCACAACGGGTGATTGACTGCGTGTTCATGGTCGCGGCGCCGCGCCATCTTGGCTGCGCCTACTTGATGGTCGCCACCCGGATTTCCACGCCACCGGGTTGGGAGTGCCGCTCCTGGTGCACTTCTGAGTGGCTGCCCGCGCGCTCGCTTCGCTTGCCCCTCCCTTTCTTGCTGCCTAGTCGCGGCCCTGCTAGTGATCGGACGGCTTTCGACTTGCCTCGCGAGCCCGTAGACCAGAAAGTATCCCCACCAGCGAGAGTATCGGTTCTGGCTCTCCTCCTGAGTGGCTGCCCGCTCGCTGCACTAGTCGCGGCCTGACTAGTGTTCGGACGGCTTTCGACCCGCCTCGCGAGCCAGTTGACCAAAATATCCCCACCAGCCCATCCAGAAACGATGCCCATGAGAGCTCACGGTGGGGGAGGAAGAGACATGCATAGTCAATCTTGGAGCAATATTGGAGCAATGTTGAGGCCTCGGAAGGAAACAATGGCGGCAAGGCCGAATTCATTGATTTTCTTTAGGTGTTTGCCCGGCCTCCTGGGGAGGGCCCGTGGCCGTCTCGAGCTGCCTTGGAGCGGTCTTTGGTCCTCTTGGAGCATCTTGGGAGCCGTCTTGAGCCAGCTTGGATTATCTTGAACCATCTTGGAGGTCATCTCGGGCTCTCTGAAGCCACTCGGGGGCCTCTTGGGTGCCTCTCGGGTGCATCTTGGGGGCCTCTTGGGGCTTTGTAGGGCGCTCTTGGAGCCCTGGAGGGCCTCTCGGTGCCATCTTGAAGGCGGTCGGTCAAAAGAGGGGGTCCTCGATGCCTGCCCCCTCCCCCCCCCCTCGGGGGCCACGATCCTCGTGAGTGGTGTCAAAAATTGGCCTTCCCACTGGCCGGAAAGGACCCTCTGACACATCGGTCCCCTTCCAAAAACAACCCGGGGAGGGGAGGGGAAGGCTCCCCTCCCCGAAGGGAAGAGGGGTTGTGGAAGAAAAATGATCACCCTTAGACCACTTGTCGCCCAAAGGGCTGGTGGGATTTCCAAGCATGCAGTGGCTTCTGGCCGATCCCGCCAACGCGCGTGGGATGCTGGTCCTAGTCTCCTCCTCTCTCTCCCTCCCCTCTGGCCTGTTGGTGTCTTCGCGTAGGTTTCTGAATGACCGTTGGGGGCCTTCTGGGCATTTTGGGGCCATGTCCTGGTGGATGATAGCGGACTTCAATGTTTGTCCTTGGGGTCACATCGTGGGCGCAATCTTCGGGACAGTCGGGAATTCATGGTCGCGGTTAGGACAGCATCTATGCAATTGTCCAGGGCCTCGTGCTCCCAGCCATGTTTTCGGCAAGTGGGTCTGCCCGGGCAGCCTGGAATAGAGATAAGACTACGGTATAGCACTTGGAGAAGCAGCAGTGCTATGCTGTAGGCACCCTTGTGGGATTGCATAGTCGTCGCGTTACCCCGTCGCGGCTAGTTGGAGGCATATTGGGCTTGGGGGCTCATCGTTTTGGTTCTCTTCGTCTTCGCCAGACTCCTAGCTACAACGTTGCCGGCAACACGGTTCATGTTTGAAGACGATGCGGATGCAACGTCGTATCGTATGGAAGACGTGCGATGCTCAAGGCATTCGAGCATTTGTTGCAGAAGGCATGGTACCACAGTGTCAGTGTAGCACGATCGCGTGTGAGATCTTATCCGCACGCATGATTGGCACATGATATATTGCCGCCGATAGGCGCCCTGCTGCCGCTGCTGTTCTGATTTCACGGTGCCCCCGGCTGCTCTGCGAAGAAGTTTTTTCTGGCCAGCCTTCGCGCCGGGTTTTGCAAATAATGGGCCCGTGGCCATTGCATTGCGTCTAGCTTTCTTTGCCAGGTCGGAGAGACAAGTCGAAACAGTAGTGATCCTCGTGGGCCAAAAGGGGCCCCCAGTGCCTGCGGCGCCTGCCTTCCCCCAGCCTGCCACACGGGGTCGGACAGGCTTTCTCTAGCCGCCAGGGGCGACGACGTCACACGATCACCGGACGGGGAGGCGGGACGACGAGGTCATGATTGTCAGGGGCCACTACCACGACCGGGAGGGCAAGGTGACGCAGGCGCCCGCGCGGCCTCTGCCGGCACTCGGTGTTGGGATGCGCGGGCTTCGGGGGATAAGGCGCGGGCCCTGGACGGCGCTTCCCCTCGCACGGCGCATACGCCCCGTGGAGGGAAATCGAGTTTGTGCACACATGCGGGGGATCGGTTCCGGCGACGGCGAGGAGGACGACGACGATAACGAGGATGTCGACGACGACCACGACGACGGTCAGACGGGTCTTGCGCACTACATTAGTCATCGCGCCTCGATTCAAATCGCCTGTCGCCATGCGTTCGGTGAGATCGTGATCCCGTGGTCCTCCGCCATAGTATGATCCATCCCGCGTTTACTCTCCAGGTTTTGTATGCTAGCAGCGAGGCGTTGCTGACATACTCGCCTCATTTCTGGCAGATCCAATGAGCCTGCACGGACGGTTCCAAGTGTCCGTGCTATTTGTCTCTCATCTTCGTTGCGGTTGCTGCTCCGCTCTCTTTCATAGCCCAAGTATTCCTTTCGTTTGTGCAGAAGAGGTCTACCGCAAGAAATGGCGCATCCACATCGAGCGCGTCACGCGTGACAAAGCCAACGGGCAGACTGTGCCGATTGGTTCTGGGCTCGGGGACGGGAAGTGCATCTGAGTCCGTTCGGGACGGGAAGAGCATCTCATTCTTCTTGCAAGCATTGATCTGTCCTTTTCCTTCCCACATGTTACTCTTCCTCCCGTCCGTCCCTCCTTCCCTCTCTCCCTCCCTCCCCCTTCCCCTTGCGCATCCTTTTTCCCGTACCATTCTCCCTTCATCTCCTCCGTCCATCTTTCTCTCCCTCCCGCTCCCTCCCTGTCGTTCCCTCCCTCCCTCCCTTCCCTCCCTTAGTTCCTTCTCTGCCCAACCCTTCGCCTCCACCACATCCTTTTCCTCTCTCCTCCAGCTTTCCTCTTCCTTCACGATGTCAGCCAAGCCAAGGGCAGTTCCATCCATCTATCCTCCATCCATCCATCCATGCATGCCTCCTTCCCTCCCTCCATCCATCGATCCATCCATCGATCCATCCATCAATCCTCCCTCCTCTTCCTCCTCCTCCTCCTCATCATCCTCCGTCTCCGCCGTTTTCTCCCCTTCCGTCTTGTTTCGCTTTGTTATCCCTCCTCATGTCCCTCCTCTTCCTCCTTCTTCCTCCTCCTTCTCCTCCTCCTCCTCTTCCTTCTCCTCCTTCTCACCACCACCACCATCATCATCATCATCAACATCATCTTCATCGTCAGCAGTCTCAGCATCAGCAACAGCATCAGCATCATCATCATCATCATCATCATCATCATCATCATCATCATCATCATCATCATCATCATCATCATCATCATCATCGTCACCATCATCATCATCGTAGTCATCAGTATCAGATCAGCATTCTAATCAGCATCATCATCATCGTCATCATCATCAGCATCATCATCATCAGCATCATCATCAGCATCATCATCATCAGCATCATCATCAGCATCATCATCAGCAGCAATACGTCGGCGCTCCGAATGTTTATTCCGATTTGAAAGGCACGGCGCCGCGCGAATGCAGCGCAAACGCTATGCTGGAAGGGCGCGGCAATGCATGCCCCCTGGAAAGGCGAGAGCAGCCGCGCCCCCGCGCGGGGCGCGTTCCCGTTGACAATGGCTCACCCGGGAAACCGTTTCTTGTGCAGGAAGTCCTGAGCGGTCTGCCGATCGGCGGCTCCTTCGGACGAGGCCCGGAACCACCGAGAAACCGTTGTTGATAGGAAGTGCTAGGCGGTTTGCCTATGTTCGGTTTCTTCGGAGTGGGCCCGAAGACCTCGAGAACGATGCTTTTGCAAGGAGTCCTAAGCGGTTCGGACATTTTCGTGTCGTTCGAACGGGACCCGATTTTTCCCAACCATCCTGTGGTGTTGAGTCCTCGTTTTGAAGAAACGGTCCCCGCGTCTCCTCCTCTCCTCCTCTTCTCCTCCTCCTCCTCTCCTCCTCCTCCCCCTCCTCCTCCCACCATCATCATCGTCATCACCCATTTCGGCACACCCCTCACACGTTTCGTGGCCCCACTGGGACCTTCGGTGGAGCTCCCTATGGGGCCACGAAGCGTGTGAAGGGTGTACCGAAATGGGTGTGCGGGACGCATGCGGGCACACCCGCTGGGACCTTCGGTGGAGCTCCCTATGGGGCCACGAAGCGTGTGAGGGGTGTGCCGAAATGGGTGTGCGGGACGCATGCGGGCACACCCACTGGGACCTTCGGTGGAGCTCCCTATGGGGCCACGAAACGTGTGAAGGGTGTGCCAAAATGGTGTGCGGGACGAATGCGGGCACACCCACTGGGACCTTCGGTGGAGCTCCTATGGGGCCCGAAACGGTGCCACGAACGTGTGAGGGGTGTATGGGTGTGCATGCGGGCACACCCACTGGGCGGGCTCGGCGCCACGAAACGTGTGAGGGGTGTGCCGAAATGGTGATGACGATGATGATGGTGGGAGGAGGAGGAGGAGGAGGAGGAGGAGGAGGAGGAGGAGGAGGAGGAGGAGGAGGAGGAGGAGGAGGAGGAGGAGGAGAGGAGAGGAGAGGAGACGCGGGGACCGTTTCTTCAAAACGAGGACCCAACACCACAGGATGGTTGGGAAAAAGAAAGATGTGTGTGGGACACGGGAGGATGCGGAGGAGTAGACAAAGGAGCACTGCCCCTCTGGTACTTGTCCCCCCCTTTCCCTCACCGCCGTCCCTGGGCCATCAGTGAGCGGAATACTCAAGGCTTCCAGAACTTCCAGCTGGCCTCCGTGTCCAGCCCGTGTGGCTCTTGGCGGAGCGGGACCGTATCCGCCACGTCGGCAGCCATGTGGACTGGCCAGAACGGGGAGCGTAGAGAGCGTGCGCGCGGTGTGCTGCAGACGCGGCGTCGCCTTCCAAGTCGTCAGGGTTGAGCGCTTCTTGGCGCGGCCGCCAGCTTGAGCCTCTCCATGTTGTGAGGGATCACTAGTCCTCGTGCTTGCCTGTCATCTGGTGTTCACAGCTGGGCTTCCGGTGCCCAAATCATCACTGCAGCGGCTGATGCATTCGGAGCTGGCTTAGGTATCCACCCGTCGAAGGTGACGATCACGAAGATCAAGCTCGACAAGGATCGTAAGGCACCTGACGCATGCGTCCTGCATTCGTCCGTCTCTGTCTCGCTCGCCCAAGTTATCGGTAGAGGCTCTATTTTGCCAGGAGCGGGTGGAACGCGGAGGCAGTCATGTCGTTACAGCGACGACACGGTACCAACAGTCTTGAGAAGGTGGAAGAGGTGCAAGCAGAGGAGGGAGAGGGAGAGACAAGCTGGGTCCTCTTGCGCAACTTCTGACATCCTATCCCCTTCCCACTGCACTGAGTTCTCTCTATTCGCCCACGGGTGTCGTGGCGGACCTGGAACCCCCAAAAGGTCTCAGTCGGTTGAGGGTGAGGGGAGAAGTAATTACTCATATTGAGCAGTTGCAGAGGACGGGGAGGAGTGAGAGAAGAGGGGATGACGAGGGGCAGGGGGGAAGAGGGGTGGAGCTGAGCAGGCCGAGTGGATCGGGTGTTGCCAAAGGTGGCTCTGGCCCAAGGTGACCCCAGATTGTCCAGGGAGGCCCAGGTGGCTTCAAGAGCACACCTCGAGAGGCCCAGAGGGCTTCAGGTCGCCCGGACTGGGGCGAAAAGCTGGTGCCACCTTCGGCCGTGATCACGTCTGGCAACACTCGACTTTGGCGGGGTTCAGCTGTCCCCGTAGCCCGCTCGTACGGCGAGCCCCAGGCTCTGTTGGACCGCAAGGGCGGCAAGGGCAAGAAGGGCCAGAAGTACACCGACAAGGACCGCCTCCTCCAACTACCCTTCATCCTCCAGCTAGTCATCTCCCTCCTCCTGCTCCTCCTCCTTCTCCTCCTCCTCCTCCTCCTCCTCCTCCTCCTCCTCCTGGGCGCAGGGGGGGGACCCCCCCGCAGCGGCTGGACCCTCGCTCGACGTGCTGGTCAGAACGTGCTCCAGGAAAAGCCCAGGCGGGGGCTCGAGCCTGGACCTGCCACAGGGGCGCGAAGATCTCAGCGCCGCGCCACCCGGGCCGAACCATTGACCTTCTCCAGCGGGGGCGGCACGAGGCCGCGAGCTCAGCGCCCCGCGCGGCGCGAGGCGCGCACTTGGGAGACGCAGTGCGCCAGTCCCTCCACGAGGTCGAGCCCAGGCGTCCCCGTGTTGCCTTCCCCGAGGCGCCAGCTACTTCGCCGCGTGTGTCGACGCCGAGTGGGCCCCGCCGCCGCCAGACACCTGGCGCAGCAGCCGCCGCGGGCCAACCGGCGGGGCTGGCCGCGCCACGCGCTCGGGGCGTGGCCCGTCCCCCATGAGCGGTTCGCTACCTCCGCCCCCTCTTTCGGCCGCGTCTTCCTCTTGCTCCCCCTCCTGCATTGTGGCACAATTTGCCCTAACGACACCCCCGTTTAGGCCTTTCCGCTAGCGCAGACTTCCCCTGCCTCACCGCCGACGCAAAAGGCCGAGTCGAGCATTGTTTCGCCGAGTGCCTGTAGGCCTTCGCGCTGCCGCCGTAGCACTGTGGCAGCCCCGTCGCTGTGCCGCCTGTTCGCCATGCGTAGGCGTCGGTGTCCCTACCTTTGCACCGTCGGCCGCCCTCGTTGACAGCGGAGGCCTGGGTATCACCCGACTGTGGGTGAACTGGCGTGCCGAATAGTCGGCTGCACGTAAGAGTGACCTTTCGCCGGACTGACCTGTAGTGCGGGCACATTGGGGGTCCCCAGTTGACTGCACGCGATGCGATAGCAGCGTCTTGCGCACCCGAGTTTGGCCTCCCCACGGCCACCGAGAATCGCACACCCAAGGTCACACGTACCTAGGATCATTCTTGCGCGTGCGGTAGGCTCATGCGGCGTCGGCACGCCGGCGACGCCGGCGAAGGCGTTCAAGGTTGAGTTCTGCAACGCGGAAGCACCGGGCACGGTGACGCCTCTGGACCCGACAGAATAAAAACCTTGAACGATCGTGGCCGCGATCGATTCAAGGTTGTACGATCGACGCGGCGTCAAAAACCATTGCGCGTGCCGACCCCGCACAAACCTACCGTAACCGAAATACGCTCGTCTCGGCCTGGGGCCGAGCCACGCTGCGACGCCAGGCTGTCGCGAGGGCGGACTGGAACGGCGACGAGCGCGCGCTCCGTCCTTGACCTTTTATGCCTTTGTACTTCCGTGTCCGGCCGTGCTCCCTCTTCGTGCTTGCCCGCAGAAAGCTTGCACAAACGTACACTTCCGGCGCTCCCGGCGGATTTCTTGGATCGGCGCTGGGGCCCCCCTGGCGGCTCCTCCGGCGCCGCCCCTGGCGCGCTCCGCGCGCCAGGGATGGGGGGTTCAACGCGGATCCAAGAAATCCGCGCGGACAACTCCACGGAGCTCACCCTCCCCCCATCATATCTGGGCTCACTGCGACTCCTCCGACTCAATTCGATTCCGATCGATTCCGATGCCGATTCGATCCGACTTGGGGTTCCGATCTGGACTTCGGTTTCTCAATGGAGGCTTTATTAAACTGCCGATTTCCGCTGATTCGATCCATTTTGATCGCCGATCCGACTCATCGATTCGTCTCCGGGCTTTCCTGCCCCGGCTGCCGGCACTCCCTCCCAGGCATCGGCAGGGTGGTATGGCCATGGGGCCCCTCCGCCTCGCTGCCCCCAGGAGCGGTTCCCGAGGCTCCGAGCACGCACCGAGTCGGGCTGGTTGGGCACGTCAGCCCACCGTGTGGATCAGCCGTGCTTCTTGGCCCGGTTTTGCTTCCCACTCGGAGACTGGAGAAAGCTTGCGGTTGGGAACCTTTGCTTAGCGTGTCGCGCCGCCAGTTCTGGCTCACCACGCTCTGGCGCGACACGCTAATCACGCCCCAGTCCCCAGGCGCCAACGTCCCGAGTCTTTCCCAGCCTCCCGCTCCGCGGAGCGGAGCGACACGCTGTCCGCCTGCAGAGCCGTGTCGCAGCGGCCGCCGCCGCGACACGCTAGGCAGAAGTTCCCGACCACTAGTCCCACCGGTCCTCGCTGGCGCCAGCCCACGTGCACTCCTGTCATGAACTGCCTGTGATGCAGAGCCAGCGATCTGATCCCTGAGCCACCCGCCCCGTCCCTGTCTTCCTTCGGCCGCGTCCTCTCATCGCTCCTCCTCGTGCACGGTGGCACAATTCGCTCTGACGGCATTCCCGTTTAAGCCACTCATCGCCAGCACAGACGTCCCCTGCCTAGCCGCCGACGCAAGAATGTGGCGCAGAGCCGTCATCGGGCAGCCCCTCCTGGTCCCGAGCCTGCGCTTCGGGTGGGGTCCAGGGGTGCTCTGCCTCGGTTCGGTTGCCCGCCCTCCCATTCCCGAGCGCTGCAAGCTAACCGAGGAAGGCCTCGTCTCACTTGTCTGAAGTCGGGCATGTTCCTTTACAGGAGGGATATTCAAAAGTAGTCAAAACATGGTCCGCGGGGATGATTTTTTCTCTAGTTTTGATTCTGTAGGGGGTATGTTTTGACTATTTTTCGCTCCTCTTCCAAAATCCGCCAGTCGGGGCACACGCCCGACCTATTACTTGCATGGTTCGCAGACCTCGACACGGGTGCAGCACCGAAGCTCACCCCTGCTCGAAGAAGACAAAACGTCGTAAGCATAAACTTTTGGCGCTCCGCGCGGATTTCTTGGATCCGCGCTGGGCCCTCCCGGCGGCGCCTCCAGCGCCGCCCCTGGCGCGTTCCGCGCGCCAGGCAGGGGGGTCTGGCGCAGATCCAAGATATCCGCGCGGACCTTCAGAAACGTATGTTTATGCTGTTTTTTGTTGCTCTACATACCTCTTGTTCCTTTAGCTTGGTCCGCCTCAGGTCGGGCAGGTCACTCCGGTGATTGCTGCAAGCTCTCACTGCCGACCCCCATGCTTAAGATCCCTCGTTCTGAAGCGATGCGGGTCCCGAGACTTGCCTCGCCTGTCGGTTGGGCCTTGTCTCATCATGCGTCAGATGATCGCATCACTGATTCGCCTGTTGCGTACCTGCCGGGCACCGTCGTGCAGGCTGCAGACGTAGTCGATCGTACAGAGGGCGCTGCGGCATGCACACCCCACCATGTGATAGGCAAATGGATCATCGATGCATCCATTGTGCCAGTGTCCTTTGTTCCTGCAGGCGCATCGGGTAGATAGCAGCCAGTACCACTTGGGGGACGTTGGGTCACGCCGATATTTAACTGATGCCGTGACACGAAGGACGTGCGACATGTCTACGGATAACACTGCCGACCAGTTGTATCGGCAACTTGCTGCGAGGCGATAGTGATGTCTCCATCGGTCTCCTCGTCACCCGCGCGCCCCCCAGGACATGGAAAAGTGAGCGAAGCCTGGCAACGGACTTGGAACTGCTTCGCTCCGGAGCGAGCATCCACAGCGGAGCGCGCGCGCGCGCGAGTGAGCAGGAGCGCTGCCTGCAGATGCTGAAATCTGGCGGCATGAGTGAGGGCGAGGGCACAGAGCAGAGTAGTGTTGGGACGACGGCTGATTACACCCTTGGCGACAGAAGGCCCCAAGCTCGCTCTGGACGGCTTCGGAGAGCACCTATAGAAGGTATTACAATGAGCAACGAGCACAATACAAAGTATTATAGCGACTGCTGAAAACCGAGGGACCATGCGGAAGACCATGCGGAAGACCATAACATGCGGGAGACCATACGGGAGACCGTGCGGGAGACCATACGGGACACCACACGGGAGACCGTGCGGGCGGCCAGAGGCCACGTAGATTGCAGCAGACCCGATGGGAGACCAGAGAAGAGACCCTACGGGAAACCATGCGAGAGAACACGAGGGAGACCATGCGGGAGACCATACGGGAGGCGCTGCGGGAGACCACGTGGGAAACCATACGGGAGACACCATGCGGGAGACCACACGGGAAACCGTGCGGGAGAGACCGTGCGGGAGGCCACGCGAGAAGCCGCGCGGGAGACCGCGTGGGAGACCACGGGCCCGGAGCCGTTGATTCCGGTTCCAGAGGAATTCACACGAGCTTTGAAGCAGTAGACGGGGGCCCCCAAACCCAAACGGGGTGGTGACCACACCGTGTGGTGAGTCGGTGGGGATTCGGGGTCACCGCACGGTTTTGGGACTCGGACCGTTCTCCGAGGACGTTTCGGGCGACTGGAGCCTGCGCTGACGGACCGTGCGGTGAGGTCTTGGGTGATTTCGAGGTCACCGCACGGTCTGTCACCGCACCGTTTCGGGACTCCACAAGTAGACATTAGGCATGGCCTTTACAGACAAGCTGCTCAGGGAGCTTCTCCATCAAAGCAGAAATGGCAACGGCTACCCAGGGGGGGATCCTTGAGGAGAAGGCAGGAGCAGAGTTCGCGGCTCCAGGATCGGGAGGGGAGGAAGCAGGGGCACGACGGGTGGCAGGCGGGCCGGGCAGGGCCAGGAGATGAGCTTAAGGAAGCAGCCTCCTCCTGCTCCTTTTGCTACTGTGCCCCGAATCATCTCTCCATTCTGCAAGCCCCAGTGGTCAGTCTGGCGATAGGTCGGAAATCTAAATCTGAATGCCAGGTTTGTGCAAGACTGCCTCTCGAGCAACGGGCCCCGTTTTGAGCCGCTATGTGCGCAGAGCCAAGGGCCAAAGTGTGGAGACGCCTCCCAGTGGGACGAACTCCTCTGCAGATCACTTTGACTCATCCGTAGCCGTTTTGGCCGAAGGCTCTTTTTGGCACCCCGCCTGCGGAGCCCGCGCCCGAGCCGCACCCGAAGCTCGAGGAAGAGAAGATGGCCGCCCGACGCTCCAGCGCCCTGCTCGTCGTGGCCGCGCTCGCCTGCGCTGCCCTGGCGCTGCAGTGCGCGTTCGTGCCGCCGGCCGGCGACACCTCCCTCCGCGGCGCGACGCCACGGGCCGACACGGCGCAGCTCGCAGCAGCCGGCGCGGCGATCGCCGTGCCCGAGGTCGCGCACGCACGCCTGCCGGACGAGTTCGTGTGGGGCGCGCCGATCGTCGACGTGCTGCCCATCTTGCCGATCTTCTTCTTCCTCCTGGCCTTCCTGTGGCAGGCCTCCGTCGGCTTCCGCTGAGCTGTAGCTGGGCCGGGGCGCGCGGGCCGTCAGCATGCGGCGCGCGCGTGCGTGGTTTTTTCATCGAATGTAGAAATACGGCATCCGTCTTGACACGTTTCAATCATTCACGGGTCTGTGTAGAAAAAAGCTTGGCAGAAGAGATACCCTCCAGGTTGTTTGAATTGTCGCGGATTGTCCTTATCCTTCTCCTCCTCATGCTCCTCCGCAGTGGATTGTTCCCTTGGTCCTCTCAGAGCCGTGGTTTCCCAGGTTGCCCCTTCGAATGCGCCTGGCGAGTTGGGCGACAGAGTCGCGACTGCGTGTGTAGTTGCCAGGCCAGGGAGCGTGCGGCTCTTCATGAGGGGTGCCAGTCTCGCTGGTCCTTCGCTCGGGGGACCTCCTCGCTGCATGCCGGGTACATCAGGAGCACACTGTCGACCTGCGCCTGGCGCATGGACGACCTATGATCAAGGACGTTACCAGAGGCTCTCCACCGCGGCGTGCCGACGTCCCTGAGTTCGTCCTGGCGGTGCGGCCCAAGCAGCAGGATCAGACATCCAGCGGTCCTGGGCTGCCACCAGCACTGGCCAGGTCACCATTATCCAGAGATAGGGTCGGCACACTGCCAACCTGCGAAGCGGCCTCGCTTTCTGGTTGTCCCACAGCGATGATGACATGTACCACGCCGTCTCGCGTCTAGCTGCAGTGTCGATCGGTTCGCCCACACAGACCCCACAGATATCTCGCAGGCGGACATAAGTGGTTCCAGGTAGGTGTCCTTCGCCTGTCTCGGTTCGTGCCTCCATGTCATTGCGGCCCATGGGGAGCTAGCTGGTGACGACGACGCCGAGAGGGAGGATGAGCATGGGGAGGAGGAGCAAAAGCGACACGGTCTGGTTGTTGCGTTGCATTCGAATGGCTTTTCGGATGCCAGTTGGGGTCATCGTACATGCATATCTCGGCGGTCTCTGGGGGCCTCTGGCCGGCTGCTGGGAGCCTGTCAGGGGTCCTGGGGGCATCTTGGGGCCATCTTGGGGCCGTCTTGGGGCCATCCTCAGGGGCCGTCTTGGGGCTCGTATGGTCCTCCTCTGGGTCCATCTTGGGGCCATCTGGATGCCGCCGATGCCCATCTGCGGCTCCAAGAGCCCCAGGATGGCCATAAGAGGCGTCATGACTTCAAGTTGGTTCAAGACGACCCAGGACGGCCCCAGCCAGAGCCCCCAACATGGCAAAGCTTTGGGTTAAAACAAGTTCACACGGCTGTCCAATCCTCGTTGCCCAGGACGGCCCAACAGGTACCCAAGATGGCGCAAAAATACCAGAGGCCCGCAAGAGGCCCCCAAGACGGGCCCCACTGGCTCAAGAAAGCGGTCCGAGCAAGCAGCCCGAAGAGTGGCCAGGTAAACGTCATGCGATCTGCCGCCAAAAGCTTCCAGAGTTGGAGGGCCGGTGGCCTTCAAGAACCCCCATCCCTGTAAGACTTCTAACACAGGATGCGAACAGTTTTCTAGTACTAGCGCCTACGGTCTGGAACTGTCGGTTAGCGAGTCGCTCCGCCAGCTCTGGCCCACCACGCGTCGGCGCGACACGCTATCCACGTTCCAGACCCCGAACGTCAACGGCCCAAGCCTTTCCGAGCCTGAAGCCCCGCGGAGCGGAGCGGCACGCTGTCCGATTGCAGGGCATGGCGGGTCTCTGGGGCCGCCGCCGCGACACGCTCAGCAAAAGTTCCCGACCAGATCAAGGACACGAGGGCACCCTACCACGTTCTGGAGGCACGGTGGTGGATTTTCTCGAGAGGTCAGCCACCGTGGTACCTGGCACCCCAAGAAGGACAGGCACCGGCAGGGCTGTACGCGGAGGCACCTCCACGAGGGGCGAACGGCTCCGCCGACCCTTTTTGTACCCTGGTGGCCGTTTTGGCCGAAGGCTCTTTTTGGCACCCCGCCTGCGGAGCCCGCGCCCGAGCCGCACCCGAAGCTCGAGGAAGAGAAGATGGCCGCCCGACGCTCCAGCGCCCTGCTCGTCGTGGCCGCGCTCGCCTGCGCTGCCCTGGCGCTGCAGTGCGCGTTCGTGCCGCCGGCCGGCGACACCTCCCTCCGCGGCGCGACGCCACGGGCCGACACGGCGCAGCTCGCAGCAGCCGGCGCGGCGATCGCCGTGCCCGAGGTCGCGCACGCACGCCTGCCGGACGAGTTCGTGTGGGGCGCGCCGATCGTCGACGTGCTGCCCATCTTGCCGATCTTCTTCTTCCTCCTGGCCTTCCTGTGGCAGGCCTCCGTCGGCTTCCGCTGAGCTGTAGCTGGGCCGGGGCGCGCGGGCCGTCAGCATGCGGCGCGCGCGTGCGTGGTTTTTTCATCGAATGTAGAAATACGGCATCCGTCTTGACACGTTTCAATCATTCACGGGTCTGTGTAGAAAAAAGGCGTGGCAGAAGAGATACCCTCCAGGTTGTTTGAATTGTCGCGGATTGTCCTTATCCTTCTCTTCCTCATGCTCCTCCGCAGTGGATTGTTCCCTTGGTCCTCTCAGAGCCGTGGTTTCCCAGGTTGCCCCTTCGAATGCGCCTGGCGAGTTGGGCGACAGAGTCGCGACTGCGTGTGTAGTTGCCAGGCCAGGGAGCGTGCGGCTCTTCATGAGGGGTGCCAGTCTCGCTGGTCCTTCGCTCGGGGGACCTCCTCGCTGCATGCCGGGTACATCAGGAGCACACTGTCGACCTGCGCCTGGCGCATGGAAGGCCAATGATCAAGGACGTTACCAGAGGCTCTCCACCGCGGCGTGCCGACGTCCCTGAGTTCGTCCTGGCGGTGCGGCCCAAGCAGCAGGATCAGACATCCAGCGGTCCTGGGCTGCCACCTGCACTGGCCAGTTCACCATTATCCAGAGATAGGGTCGGCACACTGCCAACCTGCGAAGCGGCCTCGCTTTCTGGTTGTCCCACAGCGATGACGACATGTACCACGCCGTCTCGCGTCTAGCTGCAGTGTCGATCGGTTCGCCCACACAGACCCCACAGATATCTCGCAGGCGGACATAAGTGGTTCCAGGTAGGTGTCCTTCGCCTGTCTCGGTTCGTGCCTCCATGTCATTGCGGCCCATGGGGAGCTAGCTGGTGACGACGACGCCGAGAGGGAGGATGAGCATGGCGAGGAGGAGCAAAAGCGACACGGTCTGGTTGTTGCGTTGCATTCGAATGGCTTTTCGGATGCCAGTTGGGGTCATCGTACATGCATATCTCGGCGGTCTCTGGGGGCCTCTGGCCGGCTGCTGGGAGCCTGTCAGGGGTCCTGGGGGCATCTTGGGGCCATCTTGGGGCCGTCTTGGGGCCATCCTCAGGGGCCGTCTTGGGGCTCGTATGGTCCTCCTCTGGGTCCATCTTGGGGCCATCTGGATGCCGCCGATGCCCATCTGCGGCTCCAAGAGCCCCAGGATGGCCATAAGAAGCGTCATGACTTCAAGTTGGTTCAAGACGACCCAGGACGGCCCCAGCCAGAGCCCCCAACATGGCAAAGCTTTGGGTTAAAACAAGTTCACACGGCTGTCCAATCCTCGTTGCCCAGGACGGCCCAACAGGTACCCAAGATGGCGCAAAAATACCAGAGGCCCGCAAGAGGCCCCCAAGACGGGCCCCACTGGCTCAAGAAAGCGGTCCGAGCAAGCAGCCCGAAGAGTGGCCAGGTAAACGTCATGCGATCTGCCGCCAAAAGCTTCCAGAGTTGGAGGGCCGGTGGCCTTCAAGAACCCCCATCCCTGTAAGACTTCTAACACAGGATGCGAACAGTTTTCTAGTACTAGCGCCTACGGTCTGGAACTGTCGGTTAGCGAGTCGCTCCGCCAGCTCTGGCCCACCACGCGTCGGCGCGACACGCTATCCACGTTCCAGACCCCGAACGTCAACGGCCCAAGCCTTTCCGAGCCTGAAGCCCCGCGGAGCGGAGCGGCACGCTGTCCGATTGCAGGGCATGGCGGGTCTCTGGGGCCGCCGCCGCGACACGCTCAGCAAAAGTTCCCGACCAGATCAAGGACACGAGGGCACCCTACCACGTTCTGGAGGCACGGTGGTGGATTTTTTCGAGCGGTCAGCCACCGTGGTACCTGGCACCCCAAGAAGGATAGGCACCGGCAGGGCTGTACGCGGAGGCACCTCCACGAGGGGCGAACGGCTCCGCCGACCCTTTTTGTACCCTGGTGGCCGTTTTGGCCGAAGGCTCTTTTTGGCACCCCGCCTGCGGAGCCCGCGCCCGAGCCGCACCCGAAGCTCGAGGAAGAGAAGATGGCCGCCCGACGCTCCAGCGCCCTGCTCGTCGTGGCCGCGCTCGCCTGCGCTGCCCTGGCGCTGCAGTGCGCGTTCGTGCCGCCGGCCGGCGACACCTCCCTCCGCGGCGCGACGCCACGGGCCGACACGGCGCAGCTCGCAGCAGCCGGCGCGGCGATCGCCGTGCCCGAGGTCGCGCACGCACGCCTGCCGGACGAGTTCGTGTGGGGCGCGCCGATCGTCGACGTGCTGCCCATCTTGCCGATCTTCTTCTTCCTCCTGGCCTTCCTGTGGCAGGCCTCCGTCGGCTTCCGCTGAGCTGTAGCTGGGCCGGGGCGCGCGGGCCGTCAGCATGCGGCGCGCGCGTGCGTGGTTTTTTCATCGAATGTAGAAATACGGCATCCGTCTTGACACGTTTCAATCATTCACGGGTCTGTGTAGAAAAAAGGCGTGGCAGAAGAGATACCCTCCAGGTTGTTTGAATTGTCGCGGATTGTCCTTATCCTTCTCTTCCTCATGCTCCTCCGCAGTGGATTGTTCCCTTGGTCCTCTCAGAGCCGTGGTTTCCCAGGTTGCCCCTTCGAATGCGCCTGGCGAGTTGGGCGACAGAGTCGCGACTGCGTGTGTAGTTGCCAGGCCAGGGAGCGTGCGGCTCTTCATGAGGGGTGCCAGTCTCGCTGGTCCTTCGCTCGGGGGACCTCCTCGCTGCATGCCGGGTACATCAGGAGCACACTGTCGACCTGCGCCTGGCGCATGGAAGGCCAATGATCAAGGACGTTACCAGAGGCTCTCCACCGCGGCGTGCCGACGTCCCTGAGTTCGTCCTGGCGGTGCGGCCCAAGCAGCAGGATCAGACATCCAGCGGTCCTGGGCTGCCACCTGCACTGGCCAGTTGAAGTGCTTGCCCTGAGCCAGGGTCGGCGCACTGCCAACCTGCGAAACGGCCTCGCTTTCTGCTTGTGCCACAACTCACCAGGCGCGTTCCACTACTCGCAAAGTGCCTACTCGCAACCGTCCGAGAAAGCATGTCTTCCTCTTATGGAATGTATCGTAAGCCCCCCGCGGCGGATCCGGGCTATTTGCGAGTAGTTACTTTGTGAGTAGTGGAACGCGCTTGTCCAACAACGATGGTGACATGTACCATACAGTCTCGCGTCTAACTGCAGTGCCGATCGGTTCGCCCACACAGACCCCAAATATATCGTGCAGGTAGACGAGGGGCTCCGGGTATAGGTTTCCTTCGTTCGCCCGTCTCTATGTCACTGCGGCTCCTCCTTCTCGCCCTCGTCATCCCCATTCCCTCCCCTCTCCTCATTCGTTCCATCCCCTTGCATCTCCTCCCCTCCCGTTCCCTGTTTCCCCTCACCCTGCCGCAGGAGTAGGAGGGAGGGAGACGGAGGGAAGAGCAAGATTAGGACGGTGCCGACAGGGAGGAGAAACGGGAAGCATTGCGAGGAGGAGAACAACGAGGAGAAATGAGGAGGGGAAGAATGACTAGGAGAGGGAGAGGATATGGGAGTAGGGTGTAAAAGAGGAGGAGGAGGAGGAGGAGGAGGAGGAGGAGGAGGAGCAGGAGGACGAGGAGGGGGAGAAGGATGAGGAGGAGGAGGAGGAGGAGGCAGGGGGAGGAGGACGATGCAGCCCGCGATATTATCGGCCTGCGGCCATCTTACGACCTTGTTTGAGCTGTTGTTATGTACGGGCGTAATGGGAGCGGCCGAAGTCAATCGAGCCCAAGCAGCAGGATCAGACATCCAGCGGGCTTGGGCTGCCACCTGCATTGGCCAGGTCACCATTATCCAGAAGTGCTTGCCCAGAGATAGGGTCGGCACACTGCCAACCTGTGAAGCGGTCTCGCTTTCTGGTTGTCCCACAGCGATAGTGACATGTACCACGCCGTCTCGCGTCTAACTGCAGTGTCGATCGTTTCGCCCACACAGACCCCACAGATATCGCGCAGGCGGATATAAGTGGTTCTGGGTAGGTGTCCTTCGCCTGTCTCGGTTCGTGCTTCCATGTCATTGCGGCCCATGGGGAGCTAGTTGGTGACGGCGACGCCGAGAGGAAGGATGAGCATGGCGAGGAGGAGCAAAAGCGACACGGTCTGGTTGTTGCGTTGCATTCCAATGGCTTTTCGGATGCCAGTTGGGTCATCGTACATGCATCTCGGCGGTCTCTGGGGGCCTTTGGCAGGCTGCTGGGAGCCTGTCAGGGGTCCTGGGGGCATCTTGGGGCCATCTTGGGGCCGTCTTGGGGCCATCCGTTGAGGCCGTCTTGGGGCTCGTATGGTCCTCCTATGGGTCCATCTTGGGGTCATCTGGATGCCGCCGATGCCCATCTGCAGATCCAAGAGCCCCAGGATGGCCAGAAGAGGCGTCATGACTTCAAGTTGGTTCAAGACGACCTAGGACGGCCCCAGCCAGAGCCCCCAAGAGGGCAAACCTTTACTTATAGAAAGTTCACACGACTGTCCAATCCTCGATGCCGAGAACGACCCAACAGGTATCCAAGATGGCGCAAAAATGCCAGAGGCCCGCAAGAGGCCCCCAAGACGGGCCCCATTGGCTCAAGAAAGCGGTCCGAGCAAGCAGCCCGAAGAGTGGCCAGGTAAACGTCATGCGATCTACAAGGGGAGTCGCTCAGAGCTTCCAGAGTTGGAGGGCCGGTGGCCTTCAAGAACCCCCATCCCTGTAAGACTTCTAACACAGGATACGAACAGTTTTCTAGTACTAGCGCCTACGGTCTGGAACTGTCGGTTAGCGAGTCGCTCCGCCAGCTCTGGCCCACCACGCGTCGGCGCGACTCGCTATCCACGTCCCAGACGCCGAACGTCAACGGCCCGAGCCCTTCCGAGCCTGAAGCCCCGCGGAGCGGAGCGGCACGCTGTCCGATTGCAGGGCATGGCGGGTCTCTGGGGCCGCCGCCGCGACACGCTCAGCAAAAGTTCCCGACCAGATCAAGGACACGAGGGCACCCTACCACGTTCTGGAGGCACGGTGGTGGATTTTCTCGAGCGGTCAGCCACCGTGGTACCTGGCACCCCAAGAAGGATAGGCACCGGCAGGGCTGTACGCGGAGGCACCTCCACGAGGGGCGAACGGCTCCGCCGACCCTTTTTGTACCCTGGTGGCCGTTTTGGCCGAAGGCTCTTTTTGGCACCCCGCCTGCGGAGCCCGCGCCCGAGCCGCACCCGAAGCTCGAGGAAGAGAAGATGGCCGCCCGACGCTCCAGCGCCCTGCTCGTCGTGGCCGCGCTCGCCTGCGCTGCCCTGGCGCTGCAGTGCGCGTTCGTGCCGCCGGCCGGCGACACCTCCCTCCGCGGCGCGACGCCACGGGCCGACACGGCGCAGCTCGCAGCAGCCGGCGCGGCGATCGTCGTGCCCGAGGCCGCGCACGCACGCCTGCCGGACGAGTTCGTGTGGGGCGCGCCGATCGTCGACGTGCTGCCCATCTTGCCGATCTTCTTCTTCCTCCTGGCCTTCCTGTGGCAGGCCTCCGTCGGCTTCCGCTGAGCTGTAGCTGGGCCGGGGCGCGCGGGCCGTCAGCATGCGGCGCGCGCGTGTGGTTTTTTCGATCGAGTGCAGGAAAAAACTCCTATCACATGTCCAGAATTCAACAAAAGTTATGTGTAGAAAAGGCGGCGTAGAAATGACGTTGGGCCCAGCCATGCGGCAGGCGTTTCTAGATCGAATGCAGAAGGGGGGCCTCCTTGACACGTCTTTATACTTGAACAGGTCTGTGTAGAAAAAAGCGTGGCAGAAGAGGCACCCTTCAGGTTGTTTGAATGTCGTGGCTTGTTATCATCCTTCCCTTCCCCCTACTCCTCCGCAGTGGATTCCCCCTGGTCCCCTCAGACCCGTGGTGCCGGACTGCCCTCTCGAATGCGCCTGGCGAGAGGGGCGACAGAGTCGCAATTGGGTGGGTGGCCAGGCCAAGGAGCGCGCCGCTCTTCGTGATGGGCGCCAGTCCAGCTAGTCCTCCGCTTGGTGGATATTTGCATTGCGTGTCGAGCACATCAGTTGCTCATCGCTTTCGTGGTGCTCTTCTTCCTCCTGGGCGTCGACCTGGTCACGTGGCGCGTCCTCCCCTGCAGTGCTTGAGGCTGGTGTTCGCGGAGTGCCGTTGACGGCGACACCATTTCCTTCGCCTTCCGGGTTTTCGCCATCGGTCCCTGTCCAAGGCGTACCTTTCCCTGCACATCCACTTCGGCACCGCCTGTTCCCCGGGCCCCGCCCGCTCCGGCCGCCTGAGGCCCCGGCTTCCTGTGCCCTGTCTCCCTCATTAAAGCTGTGCGTAGCCCGCCTAGCTTTCAGCGGAAGAGGTTCGCTCTCGCCCCGCAGTTCAAAAAAAATCGAGCACATCAGGAGCACAATGCTGACCTGTATGTCTGGCACCCGTCGCCTTCTTCACTGTCTTCAGCGCCTGCGCCGGAGTCTGCAACTGGAACATGGACGACCAAGGATGTTACCAGTGGCTATCCACTGCGGCATGCTAGCCTCTGCGGCCATCTTGGGACCATGACTGTATAAGTCTCGATGCCCAGGACGGCCCAACAGGTACCCACGATGGCTCAAAATAGCCAGAGGCCCACAAAGGGCCACCCTACTGGCTGAGCAATCGGGTTTGAAAGCGGTCCGAGCAAGCAAGCCGAAGAAACCATCATGCGAACTACAGCGGGAACCGCCAAAATCTTCTAGAATTGGGGGGTCGGCGGCCTTCAACAATCCCTCAACATGGTAAGACTTGTAGCAACGAGGACACGAGCCTTCTCATACGAGTTGATATCAAGGACACGAGAGCACCCTACCACGTTCTGGAGGCACGGTGGTGGATTTTTTCGAGCGGTCAGCCACCGTGGTACCTGGCACCCCAAGAAGGATAGGCACCGGCAGGGCTGTACGCGGAGACGCCTCCACGAGGGGCGAACGGCTCCGCCGACCCTTTTTGTACCCTGGTGGCCGTTTTGGCCGAAGGCTCTTTTTGGCACCCCGCCTGCGGAGCCCGCGCCCGAGCCGCACCCGAAGCTCGAGGAAGAGAAGATGGCCGCCCGACGCTCCAGCGCCCTGCTCGTCGTGGCCGCGCTCGCCTGCGCTGCCCTGGCGCTGCAGTGCGCGTTCGTGCCGCCGGCCGGCGACACCTCCCTCCGCGGCGCGACGCCACGGGCCGACACGGCGCAGCTCGCAGCAGCCGGCGCGGCGATCGTCGTGCCCGAGGTCGCGCACGCACGCCTGCCGGACGAGTTCGTGTGGGGCGCGCCGATCGTCGACGTATTGCCCATCTTGCCGATCTTCTTTTTCCTCCTGGCCTTCCTGTGGCAGGCCTCCGTCGGCTTCCGCTGAGCTGTAGCTGGGCCGGGGCGCGCGGGCCGTCAGCATGCGGCGCGCGCGTGTGGTTTTTCATCGAATGTCGAAATACGGCATCCGTCTTGGCACATTTCAATCATTCAACAAGTCTGTGTAGAAAAAAGGCGTGGCAGAAGAGACACCCTCCAGGTTGTTTGAATTGTCGCGGATTGTCATCATCCTTCTCTTCTTCATGCCCCTCCGCAGTGGACTGTCAGCGGATTGTTCCCATGGTCTTCTCAGAGCCGTGGTGCCAGGTTGCCCCCTCGAACCCGCCAGGCTAGAGAAGCGACGGAGTCGCGGTTGAGTGGGTGGCCAGGCCAGAGAGAGCGCGCGACTCTTCACGAGGGGCGCCAGTCTGGCTTGTCCTCCGCTTGACGGATATTCTAGACGTATCGCGGAACCCCACCAGCCCATCCAGAAACGATGCTTGATCAGAGATGTTAAGGAGCAAGCAGTGGAATAAAGTGCTGGGAAGCCGTCATACGCCACGAGGCGGATGATGGAGGAGGAGGAGGAGG